GTAATACCTATTTATATTAGGATTACCAACAATACATATTCCTAGTAGGATTACCAACAATACATATTCCTAGTAGGATTACCAACAATACATATTCCTAGTAGGATTACCAACAATACATATTCCTAGTAGGATTACCAACAATACATATTCCTAGTAGGATTACCAACAATACATATTCCTAGTAGGATTACCAACAATACATATTCCTAGTAGGATTACCAACAATACCTATTTACAGTAGGGTTACCAGTAATACCTATTTATATTAGGATTACCAACAATACCTATTTATAGTAGAATTACCAACAATACCTATTTACAGTAGGGTTACCAGTAATACCTATTTATATTAGGATTACCAACAATACCTATTTATAGTAGAATTACCAACAATACCTATTTACAGTAGGGTTACCAGTAATACCTATTTATATTAGGATTACCAACAATACCTATTTATAGTAGAATTACCAACAATACCTATTTACAGTAGGGTTACCAGTAATACATATATTTATTACCAACAATACCTATTTAGGATTACAATACCAACAATAACTATTTATATTAGGAATTACCAATACCAACAATACCTATTTATAGTAGCGTTACCAGTAATACCTATTTATATTAGGATTACCAACAATACCTATTTATAGTAGAATTACCAACAATAAAGTAGAATTACCAACAATACCTATTTACAGTAGGGTTACCAGTAATACCTATTTTATATTAGGATTACCAACAATACCTATTTATAGTAGAATTACCAACAATACCAACAGTAACCAGTAATACCTATTTATATTAGGATTTACCAACAATACCCTATTTACCATTTAGGGTTACCAGTAATACCTATTATTTATTAGGATTACCAACAATACCTATTTATAGTAGAATTACCAACAATACCTATTTATAGTAGAATTACCAACAATACCTATTTACAGTAGGGTTACCAGTAATACCTATTTATATTAGGATTACTCCAACAATACCTATTTATAGTAGAATTACCAACAATACCTATTTACAGTAGCGTTACCAGTAATACCTATTTATATTAGGATTACCAACAATACCTATTTATAGTAGAATTACTAACAATACCTATTTACAGTAGGGTTACCAGTAATACCTATTTATATTAGGATTACCAACAATACCTTTTTATAGTAGAATTACCAACAATACATGTTATCTGTAGTTGAAGGCATACAGTTGTGTTCAAAATATTTAGATTTCAGCATTAAATAACCCATAGCTGTTGATATGCCACTAATCAAAACCAAGCAACAACGGACAGAGAAAAGTAAGTTGTCTCCTTAGTTCTCTTAACTCTCTAAGATTTCTATATAAACAATTTTTTCAATAAGCCATCTATTTTTTAATATCTTTTTCTCATTAAGTCTACTTGAATTTCCTACTTTCGACATAGATACATGCAGCTGAACATGAGAGAAACATATGAATAATTTCATAAAGTTTATAATAATAATAATGGTGATTCTAACATTAACCGTTTCCCTATAATGACATTTGAATTACCGATGGAAATTTATAACTCCATCTTTTTTTTTTTAGGAAAACAGGTTTTCAGGTCCGGTAGCTGTTATCGCTCTTTCCAGTATTGTTGGTAGTTTCCTTTCTAACCTTTTATTTGAAGTGGTGTGGAATGTCAATGATTATGGCATACAGTGCCTACTGAATGATATATCAAAGTTAATGGACTGGGCATTATATTTACAGAATACGAATAAAGATAATTTCAAAAATAAATATGAAAGTGCCATCAGATAAAATCATGAAATCACAGAAACGTCAACATTTTCATTATTTCATTATTTTCTCTTTGAGTTACATGTGTTATACATTTTAGTTGCTACTGATGTAGGTAGTCTTCAAATGATTTGGTTTATGTTATTTAATACAGTTCTTTCCTTGTGATCCTGTAGCGACAGTCCACTGTGTTCCAAAAATGATCTTTGCCAAGAGCCTTGGGCTTTACTCGCGCAAAGCATTTTTGCCATTGATTTTAGAGAGCGGTTGTATACAGGGCGTGCGTTGTGATGCAATGGATATCAGCCCGGAATGAGAAACGGAGAGCCGAGTTCGAATTCTAGTCGGGGTAGTTATGTTCACTTACACTCAAATACCCTTGGGAAAGGTATGAACCCATCTCTTCAGCTACCAGGAGAGACTGGGTCCTATAGCTTTGGTTTGTTTGGAAACCAGTCTACCGTAGAAAGAAATGGCGACCTACTGCGGGAAAATCATCTGCCTAGTCAGTCATGAATCGTAAGTGTCATGGTGTTTAATCATTCCCCCAAGAGAATGAGATGTGACACAAGGTCGGATTAATGTGGGGACCCGAGCGCGTGCACCCCGGCTGGGTCAAAAATTCCTCTCAGCCCCCGCAACCGTCGGTTGCACTGGCCTCGGTGCGAGCAACGATCCCTCCCTCTTGTGCAATGGGAGGACGCGACCTCGGGCAGCTGTTCCCCAGCACTGGGCACCTCTTCGTTATAATTTTCCTCAGTTGCCCCTCTGTCCTTTGACAGAGAAGTCCCTGAGCGCACTCTGTCCAAGGACAGAGACGCAACTGAGAGATGATAAATAATGCGAAATCCCTCCAAGGAGGAATTTTCACGTTCAAATCGTGTGTCATCGTAGGTGTCATCATCGCATATTGTGTATGGCACTTAAGTATACAGCTGACAATCTAGATATTTCAGAATTGTTTTGGCGCCAAGTATGACATCCATATAAAAGTCTGAATAATAACTAATTCAGCAAACATACTGTTTTACACTTGTTTAGATAATTTAGAAAGGTTTTAAAAATTTAAATAAGCAGATTGTTTTTTTTAATGACTCAATTCGGCTAATTTGTAAGAATGTGAAATATCAGGCAACGACAATGCTTATTATAACGAACGCTATAGACATTCCAACATTTGACTAAATATTGGCAAGGACAGAAACTTAAATATCTTCACAATTTATATGTTTTTGTTTTTGAATGGCACTGAAAGAGACAAGCGTTAAGGATTTTTTTCCGTTTCGTTTTATATTTTTCGAGCTAAAACTTTACGGCGCGAAAATTTATTTCTTAGGTTTTCTCTTCCGTCCAACTTTCGTATATTTCCAAATATACTTTTAGAGCGTTCGTTTTTAAAGCCCTAATGAAATGAAAATCCAATATGAATTATAATGAGAAAAGAAGGGTTAGAAAATTTGACACTCACAGGACATATTGAAGGCAAGAGAAACACAGCGAGTAATCTACATAAGAGTCTTATCTTAGAATACCAAGTATATGTTATAGTGTTGAGGGGTCCACCCCTTTTTATACAAATGAACTCACCCTATTATATACACATCCTACTGCAAAAGCGAGACGAGAGTAAGAGAGAGAAAGACTGAGGAGTCAAGTCCAGAGTGACAGAGTAAAAGGTTGTAGGTAACCGGAAGAGTGAGGGGTGAGGTAACAGCGTTGTAGGAGTCACAGTGAGCGAGCACGTAGACTCAGTAAGAAGTCATACAGAGATACTTCAATACCAAAGACTATATATATATATTTTGCTACTAACCCGTATTACTGGAACTACTAACCTGCTTTACCAGTTTGTATTATTACGTGAATACATTATTTTCCTATATTCCTTCTTGACGTTTGTTATTTATTGGTACTGGATTTCAACCCGGAATCCACAACATATAGTAAAGGTCAAACATTGTTAAGCGCTAAGAAGGATAGGGAGTAGTGGAGAACCATTCCCGCCCAAATCCTAAAGGGACATTGAACAAAGAAGAAGATGAAGAAGTAGAGGCAGTATTTATACTATTTACTTCTGACTGTTACCCTTATCTTTGTTGTTAGCACAATGTTTCGGTTGTTGCAACCTACAGCCTTCATCAGGAGATATGTTGATTCGGTTAACCTACTGGGAATTCCGAATTGTACTCTTTCTTTAATCTATGGGGGAGGTAGCTCATCCTAGTTCCACTAACCATGTCTAGAGATATCTCATCTTCCACTAAACATTTATAGAGATATCTCACTCTCTTATTTTTAATACTGCTCAGTTATTGCTCGCCCTGTTTCCACGGAGTCCAGGTACACAATGCCAGGCACAGGTATTATACAATTAGTATGCCATTAATTTCACGAATCTCTCCTTATTCTACTAGGCTATTGGACGTGGACAGTGAAACGAGAACGAGGTTTAATAAAGGGGTTAGTTCGAAATCCCCTGTAAGATACGAAGCCTACTTTTGAATGGCATAAGGATAGATCAATGGGCCATACAGAGTACCGAAGCTAGGTACAGGGCGTGTTAGTTTTTAAAAGTACACTTCTACTTAGACTCATAAAGAGACAGCTGAAACTTCTAGGGTACATACAGAGGAGGGAGGCTTGGCGAATCTGGTACTCACATCACAAAATGAAATATCTTCTTTTGTTTATAAAGCAAAACTGATGGTGAAAATAATTTGGATCTGATTAACATTCATTAATTGAAAATAATGCGAGAGGTAAAATTTTACAAGTACAAAATGAGTACCTTAGAAGAGTGAAATTACATTAAAATGGAGTTGCATTGTTTTAAATATATCGCTCTTGATATTGGGGTCTCTGATTGTTAGGTTGAATTGGAAAGGTGAGATGATTGCTTGTATTAGTGAACATTTAAGATATGAGTAGACAAAGACAAGATTAGAAGTTAACAATAAATATTATTAGATTGGTTGGCCATTTGGAGGATGGTTTATTCAAGATTTTTGACAGTAGAAACAATTATTTTTTCTTTGAACAGAGTTTTGGATTGCAGATTTTGGATACAGAAGTAATGTCGTCCAATGGGCTGAAGATAAGACCTTTTGACTGTACAACACAATTTCAAAACCGATTTAAAACTCTATAATAAATCTATTATTTCTATATAGAAAATTTGTTATGCAGGTCAGTCGTCTCTTTACCACAACGACATGATTAGAAAAGTCATCAGGAAAATCCAGAAGGACCAAAGAAGCCAGGAGAAACCAGACCAATTTGTCATATTTGTTGTCGCTTCCAGGAAAGAGAAAATCTATCTATCTATCTATCTATCTATCTATCTATCTGTGTGTGCGTGTGTGTGTGTAGATGAATTTCTATTTATCTGTCTATTTCTTTCTTTCTTTCTTTCTTTCTTTCTTTCTTTCTTTCTATCTATCTATCTATCTATCTATCTATCTATCTATCTAAACAATAGCCTTCTGTATTAAGTAGCTTTCAAACATTCTATTGGGTGAAATTTACTATAAAAATCATATTTGCATTGCTATTACGAATTGTTCATATCTATGCATGCTTTTCACTTTCTAACAGCATTTCTTATATAATATCTATCTGTTTATCTATTTACTATCGCTTCCCGTCTGTACATCTATCTATTAAATCAATCTATCACTTCATTCCTATCTATCTATCTATTAGGTTGGTGCAAAAATAATGACGTAATAATGTCGTTTTTGACGTATTTTTTAACGTCAAAAAACGACATTATTACGTCATTATTTTTGCACCAACCTAATACCTATCTATCTATCTAAACAATCTGTGTGTGCGTGTGTAGATTAATTTCTATTGATCTGTCTATTTCTTTCTATCTATCTATCTAAACAATAGCCTTATGTATTAAGCAGCTCTCAAACATTCTATTGGGTGAAATTTACCATAACAAATCATATCTGTATTGCTACTACGAATTGTTCTTATCGATCTATCTCTTCTTTGCTGTTCACCTATCTGTTTTCTATCTATCTATTTATCTATCTATCCCTTCCTTTTTGTTTATCTATCTATTCCTTCTTCCATTCCTTCCTTCCTTCCCTTTCCTTCCTTCCTGATTACCTATCACACAAATTCAGATTATCATTCAACACAGTTTATATTATTACAGGGAAAGAGGAAAGCAGCGAAAGCAGGTTGGGGGAGACAAGGTAAGTCCACATGTTGAGGGACGCTAAACCAACTAGCAGCATTAGCTTCTTTAAAATTCTTCCTCCCGCTGCCCCCAAGAACACATGCTTCCACGTCTGTCCCTCTTGCCACACCCTGATTAAAGTGTCACAAAAAAGAAAACGTCTTTCCTTGATACCATGTATACAGTAACGTTGTGGTCCAATGAAGACCCGGAACGCAACAGAGGCTGAGGAGACCTATGAACGTCAACGTCCTGAAGAGACAGGCCATATAGATTAATAATAAGAATTATCTTCATCAGCTTCTTGGTACTCACCATAAGCTAATTCTGACCTCATTTCTATAGAGAATCGTTCTTACAAAACACATACAGTCAAATCTTGTAAGTTTTTGCGCGTAGCAAAATAAACTAACTGTCAGTGAAGTCAGCCATCCTCATCATGACACAATGTTCGTTTCTGTTTGAGGTTGGTACGAATATGGAATTATCTGGAAGCGACTTTTCCAACAAGGGCATAAAGCTTACGGATGTGGAGTCAGATATTATTTTGCAATAGGCAATAGTTGACTAAACCGTCCGCTTGCTTTTCTTTCGAGATAAATCCGAGATTACATCAAAGTGATTTGGCTGAGCAAGAATCAGCGTTAAGACTTCACTTAAAAGCTTACGATGTCTGTTCAGTATGCATGTTATTAATTACAGATTTCTACTGTTCTTCTCTTTCTCACACGTCAAGCTGCTCTTCTCACATTATTCATAATCTATCTATCAGCCCTTTTTTTCTATCTATCTATCTATCTATCTATCTATCTATCTATCTATCTATCTATCTATCCTTTCTGTTTCCCTCTCTCTTGCTGATGCTGTCAAAATTTCTCTTTTCACTATATATATATATATATATATATATATATATATATATATATATATATATATCTGCTGTCCATCACTGCTATTTTTCTGCTCAACTAAGGATTCATTTTGCGACTCGTTCTGCCTTTTCCTCTATCCGTAAGGATCCTCTTCCTCCCCCATCATGTTTCTTCCGTGATTTATTCTTTTAAATGTGGTTGCGATAACAACTACATAGGAAGACTTCCCAACGTTTAGATTGTAGGATCAGGCAGCATGTTCCATTGCGAGTTCTTAATCCGGATGCCCGTAAGAGCCAGTTGGTTAATACTTCCGGGTCAGCGATCACTGAACATTTGATAAATTGCAGGGATTGTGCGAAGAATTTCAGTCCGAATTGGTTTACTGTACTGTCCAGTTTGCACTCTCCATTTCATTTGAGGGCACTTGAGGCTCTGTATATTCGGTCCAGGGAGCCGTCTCTTTGCAAACGAAAAGACTGTCTCCTTGGGCTTCACGTTATTAGACTCTAGTGTTTATCATACATTCCCCTCACACTCCCCCCTTTTTTCCTTTGTGCTGTGCATATTCGCGCGGTTTGAAATATACTTTTTTTTCCCCTCATACCATTAATCATTTCATTTTTTAATGTTTTAATTGCATGTAGG